CTAAAATCAGAGAATGCGCAGCAGTGTTATCGTTTATGATTGCAAATTTTTGTTTTAATATGATTCAGTATAAATTTTTTAAATGAGCTGTTAATTTTATATTGTATTTAACTTAAACATTGAGAATGATCCAATAGTGGTTGAAACGTTTGTATAACAAACTTATGGTTTAGTAATTTTTAGCATTAAGATCCAGCTTGGCTTGTAGCCCTTAATTTATTTTTTATTTTATAAATTTTTCATGTAAAAGTTTATAGCTATCAATAAGATATCTATTAATCAATGCAGCAGTAGTGACAAATAATAATTAAAAAAGTATTAAAAATATCTTATTTTTAATACTTAAATAATTTATATAAATATACTTAAATTATATATATATTTATTCACACACACAGACACAAATAACTATATTTATATATGTACTTAAATAATTTCTATCAATAATTAATTTTCTTATTGATTTAATATTATTTAGAACCATTTATTTAGAATCAATGAAATTGAATTTTATAAGTTCTGCTTTCGTTCAACTCTTCTACATTTTCTTACGGTTAAAATGTTCAACTCTTCTACGTTTTCTTACTACTAAAATGTATAAAAAATACGATACGAAGATGTTAAGTTTCCCACATGCATTAACGAAGTTCTCTGTTTCTATTTCTATCTTCCTCTTTTCCTAGAATTGTTTTAATAATTAAGTCTTTTCCGCACTGCAAAGGGCTGATCCCTCCAAACAAATTCGGTCAGCTGGGAGCTCGGCTTTGTGTTCTTTTTCCCCGCCGCGCCGCGACGCAAATGCAAGTAGATTGAGTAACCATCGCCGACAATTGCCGTTCCCCCCGTACTGGTGGTGTCGTGCGAGAAATATTAATACCTTCCACTTCCTTCCGGAGAACACCCGGCGTGGGTCCCCCTATATGGCACACCGAATCCGAGTCGAAACTCGTTTACGTAGCCGCATGTACACGTAAACACACGCGATCTAAACAACGCTGCCGTCGACAAACCGAGGGCGAAAACCCAAACACTTTTTGAACGCGTGCGGTTGAACGCGTGCGAGAGGGTACAATTAGCGGCTATACATGTATTCTTTCGCCGCAACGAGTTACATACAATACCTCGGTGGATGGATGCTCCGCGAAATTGCTTACGGTCTATATACGGTGATAAGGTGGTTTCGTTTTAGCGAAGAGGAGAAACGTCGAACTGTGTGCAAATCACGACGCAAAGCTGATTTTCCTTGACTCTCGACGGGCACAGTTTGCTTCTTTCTCACGTCTAAATGTGTTCGTTAGGTGACCCGATTCTTTCACCTAGCAGCTTTCGCAGATTAAAATGATGATTTTCGTATAGTCCTCACCGCGATAATGCAAGAATACTTATCGTGGCGATCGCCTTGTAAATATATATCGGCTAGATGATCAGCAGATCGGATTGTGACTTACATATCTCATTGTTTTAAATGCGCATACAATCAGCCTTTTTAGAAATGAGTTTCTAAAGTTACAAAAATGTAATTTTTAATCTTTTCCTTAATCGTATTTTATTTCATTTTTAACTCCACAGTAATTAAACGAAGAAGAAAGAAATGAAAAGATTTAAGAATATTGCGCCATTGTGGTTGATATATCGTTAATTTTTCTTCGTTGCAATATTAAAATTTTAAAAGAGCTAGATATATAGATATATTACTGCGTTGATAGAAAAGTGACACCTTTCAAAATTAGCAACTTCTTACTTTTTAGTAGAGCATTTTTTTAATTCTGAATTAAACAATGTTTCAATTGAAATAGTAAATATACGTAACACACTTCATTTTCTTTCTATGTTATACTTTCATGTATGTGTTCTTTAAAATTATGTCATGAGTTTTCAAAATTTGATCGCTGCAACTCTAATGCTAATTTTTTACTTGTATCACCTTTATCAATGCAGCGATATTTATATGCCAATGTTCCCGAAGAAGTTAAAGGGGTACGGGAAAAATAGTGCGAAATCAGGCTTTTTGTCTGTCGCAGTGAAATGACTAAAGCGGCACGTGTGCTCTTTTACAATCCTGTTGTCCTGTTACCTACATGCACCTCGGCTTAGTATTAGTTTCAGCAGCTTTGCATATGAATGGTAAAAGAATCATTCTATAAGATTTGCGCGAACAACGTTGTTCCGTTATTCTCTTCGTATCGTCTTTTCGAGCTTCTAACGAGATTTTACTGATTAATGAAATTTACTCGATTTTGATAATTTTCTTTTGTAATTTGTAATTTATGACAGAATTCTATGTATAATTTTATATACTATAAAATGAAAAATATTTGAAAAGTCAGAATATATACGTATATATGGAATACATGCATATGAAACTGTAAATTAAATTGTATCTTAAGTTATGACATAAAACATAAATCATAGATTTGCCTGAAATTTTAAATACTTAATGCTTAATGAATAAGAAATGTTTAATTATACATTGAAATAAATAAATATAACATATTAATACATCGTCATACACATATCGATGTAAAATTATTTTAAATATTTTGTAAAAAATCATGACAATATGACGAATATAACGCTGCAAATGTTTATTATTACTTTATTTTTTCCACTTGCGCGTGGCATTCGAAGAAACGCCATCAACAATCGAAATCAAGGGCGGAAGCTGTTAACGATAACCACGGTCCTTCAACATTGGTCGTGATGTTCAAGCATCATCGTAAATTAATGTTTTCATTTACTTATCAGACAGAGCTCGATACGATGCCTCTTTCGTGAACCTGATAATCATCGTTTTCCATAACTATTTATATAGCGAGACTGTTTCTGACGCATAAATTTTACATTGACAGGTCTTTTATCTCTTTAATCCCTCAATGAATGCACAGGATACTAATTTTATATAAAAAAACAATAAAAATTGTTACATTTTTGTGAGAATTTTGTTATGATGCTTACAATTCTCACATTCGAATAATAAAGAACAGATAGTTTTGTACAGACTTCATCTCGTTTTCACTTTTACATCTTCGGCGAAAATCTTGTGAAGCACGTTAGTGAAAAGGTGAAAAATTATGTATTGACGGAAGGGTTAAGTTACACAGTACCTCCTTAAAAGATTACATCTATACAAACACGGAAAAGACGGTTTTGTTGTAATATCTAAAAATTTAACTAGACACAGATCTGAATTTTATTGAACAAAATAATTATATAGGACACTCAAACTGGTTGCTACAATAGTGAAACTTTTTGCAGTATTGCTTATCATGCTTGAAATTCTTACGTAATTATTTTGATAATTTAACAAAATTAATTTTATATACAATAATCCTTCAAAACTAGCTAAATTTTTAGATATTTTAGGATAATCGTACTTTTTATGCACATGATAAAGATTTTGCATAATTTGTTTAAGCTGCGTTAAATAGCTTAACAATCTTTTTCTCTCTCTCTTTCTTGTAAATCAATTTTCTGTAAAGATAATTATAATCCTTCCTCAATATCTGTGCTTGATGTATCAACCAGTAAGAGATATTTTCTCTATTATTTCTTTCATGTTGCAAGACCTACATGAAACTCGACAGGATTTTCTCGTGTGAATAGCGGAAACAAATTGCGTATTTAGGGATTAGAACGGCTTTCCCAGGATTGTAGGTATCTCTCGCGTTACATCGCAAGACAGATAACTAATTCCATGTCATTAGTATACGCTTGATGGTTGATCTCAGCGCGATTAACATGCGTTTCCCATGCGTAATACTTGATTTTCGTCATGTTTATATATTCTTTATAGTGATTATGATAGACGACCGCTTGTGTAGCGGTGAACGCCTGCATGCCGGATGGAAAACCGCTGCAATTACTAGTCATCATCTCTGAGATCAGCCGGAAGCGGTGGCTCTATCCGATTTTACACGAGTCCGTGGAAACGTATGGCAATCATTTCGCAAAAGCCCGGCAGTCGCGATCGCAATTGTAATTGAATCCCGTTGGCGCACGGCCAAGTAAGAACGATATCTCAGTGAAATCATCGATGACGATGACGACAGGAAGCCGCCCACGGCTTTCGATTCTTCCCCGAGCTTCTTCGAGCGCAATTAATACGAAAGTGGAGAAGTGGTGCTTTGTTGGTCGTTTCGAGAAAACCCTTACAGAAATCTAATAGATAATCTGACTAATACTGAAAGACAATAATTACTTGCTTATTTTTAATATTAAACCACTGTTGTTTAATACAAAACAGCACTCCAAATAAATAATTAATTATACTGTTTTTCAGTAATAAATGGCCAGTGTTAGATTTCTGTAGACTCGTGGAACAAACATTACTAAAAATTAATTGATTATAATATAATACGAACGTGATTCTTTAGTAATTTAATACTACAAGGAAAGAATAGTTTTTGCTAAAATATATAAAAATTTAACTAGGTACTGACCTGAAAATAATTTTATTGGATAATTTTATTAAGTGTAGATGACAATGTTGTAATAAATTTTAACGTTTTATCAACCAGTTTGAGCGTCCTACATAAATTATTTTGATCCAAACAAAATTATATTTTCAGATCTGTATCGCTCAATTTTTAGATACTTCAACAAAACCGTATACAGATTAATTATATACATAACGAATAATTTAATGATACGAGTAATTTAATAATAGAGAAAAGCGAAATTTTATGACACATCATGAAAATTAATAAATTAAAGACTGCGATGCTAGAGAAGAATGCGAAAATTGTGAACAAACAGCTGTAATAATTTCAAGAATTAATTTAGATGATTAATTTAGATGCCGATGAAATTACAAGCTCATAGGTCAATCCGCTAATTACATCATAATTTGTCATCGTTTTTCAAGTGAAAGACTTACAATTGTTAATATACTAAGTAGCTCATTCAGTGTTAGATGCTTGGAATCTCTTTCCTTGGATTCTCTATTTAACTGTAACCATAAGCCGCCGTTAATCAAGTTTACGTATACGTATGTGTTTCAGGTGATTACTAACGGTCTCAAGTGCGACTCGGACGACGTCGACGGTTTCACAAACGGTGAGTCACTTGAAGTAATTCTTTCTATCTTCCCGTCGCTGCATTTTTTCTTCCCCATTCATTCCATCGTAATGAGACGCAATCAACGATGACGACCGTACGAGACTAGATTCATTCGATACACTCAGCGGGGTACCTTAGTTTCATTGACGAAATCCCACATAAAAGAGTCCGTCAATGAGACAATTTAGGACTGTATGAAAGTTTTTCGACCTTATCTTTCAAATTTTAATCTATATTAATAGATCTAGAGGGTTGAGTCTATTTTTGAAAACATCTTTTTTTACAACTTTTCTTTGGATAAGATTTGCAATTCATTATTTCATTGTATCCTTGCCTCAAAATATGACATTTTCAACGCCATTATAGTGGCTTTCCTGTTCTGTAAAAGTTAATAAAAAAGATACTGTTATTTTAATCACTACAAATTTATCTGAAAGATCTTTATTTATCAACAACTTGCATTAAATAATTATTAAGAATTTTAATAAAAATTAAAATTTATTTGGATTAGGAATAAATGCGAGTAAAGTGCGAATTATCTTTAACTTACTTGTTAATATGCAGCTAGTAATGTTTTTAATGACGAATGATAAGTAATGAAGTTTTGTTTTTAGACTTCTGTGGTTGCTTTTATTTAGTCACTTAGTCTAAACGATAACTTTCACAATTTAACATACATAGTTTATCGCCGACTCTACACTATTTTTACATTAGTGTTAAGTACTTCGTGAAACTAATGTTTCCCCTGTCTTTCTTTCTAGAAGTAGTCTTAATAGCGTACGAAATGCATGAACTACATACATAAAAAAATACACGCGATTTTATTTAGAGGAGAAACGTGACATTCATGTATTACTAATTATTGTTCTAATTGAATTCTAATGTTCGGGACGTTTTGCACTTCTGGAAATTTACAGCTCCTGGTTTTTATAACTCTGGCTATAATTTACAGTGCGGTTTTCCACTCGTAAATCAAGCGTGCCATATATTGGCGTATTTATTACCGCTTATGAGACACGTGTGTATCTAATTGTGTGTGTGTGTGTGTGTCGCGTTCGATATGTTATTTTCATAAAAACCATAGCTATTTTCATCGATAATTGCGCCGCTCGCAATATTTGCTCGCGGATTTATTCTTTATTTGCAAATATGTTTATCCCATTCTTGAAGATTAAAGGATCTTATTTTTAACAAACACATATTTATCTCTTTTTTGAATTTCAATTTCAATTTCAATTCGTTTAATTTAAAATCAAATTTCTATTTTTCTGCAGAATTAAATATATAACTATTATTCTTTTACTGTATGATAAGGTAAAAACAATTCAAATATTTAAAAAAGTATTGCAAATATTAGAACTCGGAATCATTTGTTTTATTTATTTGTTTCTAACATTATCGCATAAGAAAAATATCAAAAATATAGATATCTATGTCTTTGTTTCATAATTTATGATAATATCAATTATCTTTTTATAACATCTTAATATTTAATTTTGTTATAATAAAAAAAGTATTAAAAAAAATTACTTATCAAGCTTTCAAAAAAAAATGTCTCTTCGATTGTAATCACTGCTCCAGAAACCGCAAAGTCAAATGTGTTACAAACAGATGCGTGTTAATGCTGCTAATCTGTCTACAAATTATCCTGTCGTACTTCTAACCTCCTGAAATTATTTAAGGCACAAAGCTCGACAGGGAGTAATTCACGCTTTTATACAAGATATTCTATAAAGATCCTAACAATATTTAAGAGTAGATTCCTGAGATCATTTTGAGATGAAAATCCGAATATCAAAATGTCAAGGCTATAATAGTTTTTGAATTATATAAATATATAAAGTGAGCAAATCATACTACCTAAAGTTCGCAGATTCAGGTGTGATTAGCGTGATACAACACAGAAGTCACTTGTATATAGTACCTGGATTTCCCGGATAAGTAACATAGAACAGAAGCGACGGTTGATGATTCTCGAGATGCCATGAGGTAGAAAGAATGTTTTCTCTCGTGACGTAACATATCACTTGTCCTTGTCCTCGGCGAGATTGCGACGGCCCTGACTTTGCTCTTCGGTCACTATCATCCCGAGCGAGTGCCAGCGGACGAGCACCGCGTGCGCCTGCAACGACGCGACGACGATGATCCGGCCGCATTTTCTCACGCTACTTCAGCTGCTCCTTGCCAGTGCAATGATCTCCCTTCCGCGGCCGCACATCTGCCTGAAAATTACGTCCCGAGCTGGCTTACGCACGTCTCATCCTCTTCTTCCCGCCTCGCTTCTCCGCACACGACTCGTTAATTTGAGATCCGCCACGTCATGTCCTCTCTCATGCAGGTCCCCGGCTCCTCTCTCGGCCTCGAGATTAATCCCTTCGGACACACTTTGTCCGAAATTTGAATGACCCCGCACCGTATAATTTTCTTATCGTATATCGTGTTCATTTATTACCGATAAACTTCATTTAATTTTCGAGCAATATGAGTTGCTTAGATAATTTTTCCCCTGATTTTTCGTGATTTGAATACATAACGATGTTATTACACTTATTATTTATAATTCGAAAGTTGAGATTTAACTAAGATTAAACAAATTATGACACTAATAAGGGACGAAGGAATGTGTTATTAATTTATTTTATAACAAAATAAAAATAATTAACGCGGGGACACTTTAAAGTTGACATAATGATTATTCACAAATAGTCTGACGAATGAAAGATAAAGATAGAAGAAGTAAATATCTGAACAAAAGCAACTATTATTTTATTTTATGACAAAATTAAATAATGGCTTTTACTTAGATATATTTTTTCTACCTTTATCTTTCATTTGTCAAAGTCTTTTTACGGACTTATTATGTTCCTTTTTTTTTTTACAATTATTGTGTCAACTTTAAAGACGCCTGCGTTAATTCGCAACGCTTCTATTGTTGTAAATTCGTTTCCTACGCAGTTTTTATTTTACTTGGAAATCAATTGCGTGTAGCGATGATAAAGTTAGGTAAGCTCGGCGGTGAAAGTAGGAAGGAGGAAGTGAATAGGGATACAACGGAATATCGCAGATCCGTATCGCGTCGCAGATTATTAGATCATTATGTCATCTTTGATTTAATCCGCGGTCAGACTACGTAATAAAGCCGTAAGGCGATCAAAAGCATAAGTGACCGCGTTGCTTATGATGAGCCTAATAATCTTCATCCACCAGGATTCAAGGATAACAATAATTATCGCTGCAATGTACGATACGCTGATAGTTTCGTAATTAGATTTTAATTGCTAATGAATAATTAGCGATTATACCGTAACCGCGATTATGACTTTAATTGTTACGACTTTGACCACTGTGCGGTTTCACTCGAGTTTAAAGCCTCCACAAAATACGCGATTAAACCGAGCTCATTTAACGAGAGGAGATAATTTTTTTTAATAAGCTAATAAGAACTTGTTTGATGGCTCTGCAGCGTCGTTTATTATCATGTATTTTCCATGCTTATGATTGCATTATTTTTCCCCTCACAAGTTTTTTTTACAATCTAAATTTTGCCATGTAATCGCGATTGAAGATAACGAAAGGTTATCGTTTATCTGCCCGTTTTATGAATTTATTGCGAGGAGTTTCAATACGATATTTAATTATCAAACTATCTAACAAAGGTAAAACATTGGGAGATTTTTTTATACGGGACAATTTCGAGAACTTATCAATACAACAAGCATGTTAATAATTTGGTCACTTGCATTACATTAATTTAGTCCATACTAAAAGCTGTACATGAAATTAGTTAAGTTAAATGCATATAAATATTTTAAACGGTTTAAGTGCTTAATAATAACATTGCCATGTTATTTAACAGAATATACATTTATTATTTTATATTGTCAAAGTTGATTTATTATCCTACATTTAGATTCGCAGGATTTATAAATTCTGTGTAATGCGAATTCACCATACACGGAAAGAACGATTGCAATGAAGTATTTATTAAAATTTAGCTACATACAGATCTAAAAATAACTTTCATGTGCCATCAAAATAATTATATAGGAATCTCAAACATAATAAGCAATGATGTAAAAAGTTTTGACATTCTAGCAACTAATTTAATCGTTCTGCATATTTTGATAGTTTGAGAAAATTATTTTCAGATCTGTATCTCTAGCTAAATTTTTTAATACTTCAGCGAAACTGTTCTTTTCATGTAAAATTAGGAAGAACAGAGTTGATAGAGAGATACGATAAATGCTTCAAATGATTAAATGTTCAGTATGAGATACTGTCATGTTATTTAATAGAATATTTATTATTTCATTATCAAAGTTAATTATATTATGCTACTGCATTTAGATTCTTTATATAAAGCAGTCTTTAATGTGTACTAACCCATTGTAAAGTGAAATCACGATAAAATTAGAATGGACAGAGATACTCAGATAAAATTTTACAGTCCTTTATGGGCCAGTCTCACCAACTTTGATTAACTAGAATGACCGATTAAATTTCAGTATTGCCAACTGCAAAACAGAAAGCATAATTTGCTGGCATGGTGAAAGTACTAAGAACTATTTAATAATTATTATTGTTGCTGCACGTGTGTGTGATATCAAAGTACATAAAATTAATTATTTTAATGCCATGTGTCGTTCTTTACAGCTGCCAGAAAGTTATGTTTTTAGTTTTGCAGTTGTCAGTATTGAAATTTAATCGATCAAGTTAGTTGAAGTTAGTGAGATTGGTTCTATAGCTTTGTAATTCTCCGATAGTTTGCGTTAAACTATCCGAGATTGCCGTGCCATCGAGATCGAAAGTGAGAGTTACTGTTTTTGCTTATCGAGAGATCGAGGAAAGTGTCGTTGTAGAGGATATATTTCGCGGCTGTAAACTTTCGATTCGGATCTCGCAAACGTTATTATCTTGTGCACATCCGTACATGTTCCCTCGACGTTTCGCTTCGAGGTAAGCGACCACGGTTGATGTTACCGCATGAGGCTGTAAAA